GTAGCCTGGGATAAAGCAACAGCTGCCTCTTGACTGTGATTCTTGTGATACAGCAAATGTTCAAATTAGACGAATACCTGTAACGGCTTTAGGACGTGCTCTGAATAAATATTGCATGTGATGCAAATTTGAGCAGTTTGTTACTGTGTGTAACCAAATCAGCCTCCTGCTGCAGACAGACCAGAGCTGCTGCTCCTCTCTGTACTTCCTGTTTTATCCCTCTCTGCCTCTCTTCATCTTTCTTTTTTCATTCTTAATTAAGTATGAAACTGACTCCCCTACAACAGAGAAAGAAACCAACCAGACAAACTGTAGCGCCTCAATAAGAAAATCTAATTAAAGTGGGGTTTTTTTTTGTAACTCGATGTTGTTTGATGAGTGGACTGGCTGCAAATCAATTTCCCATTGGGGACATTAAAGTTACCAAACAGTGTTTGCATGTGAAGGCCATCACAGTGGTGGGAGCATCAAGCTGTGGGAATAATTCAGTGTTTCTGGAACTGGGAATCATGCCAGTGGGTGGAAGGAATCCTGAATGGATCTGTGAAGCTTCTGAGCAAACCTAGGTCTGGTTTTTTATAATAACAATAATAATACATTTTATCTATAGGTGCCTTTAAGAGGCTCAAGGTCACCTTACAATAGCACAAGAACAATCACAACAATACAATATAAAAAACATGGCAAAATAACATTTAGACATAAGGTAAATAAGAAAAAAACAAGCATGAAAGTATAAAAGCTGAGCAAGTAAAACTGGACTAAGACAGAGCAGGTGTATGCAATTCTGAATAGATGAGTTTTGAGATGTGATTTAAAAGTGGTTTGTGGTCAGGAAGTTCTGGTGGAAGTGCATCCAAGTGCATCCACCACACAGGCGGAGCAGAGTGGGGTCGTTAGGCCTGGGGTTCAAGCTTGACAGGAAGTGCTTCTTGGAGCTCTACCAGGGCCCAAAATGCCTGGAATTATTTAGAAAAAAAGAGATGCCCCAATACACACCACAGGGTCAAAGGTCACATACTTGTTGTTTTTCAGTGTTTAACAGTTCATACTTTTTGGCTGTTCTAAATCTTTTATTCATGTACATTCTGAGTGCCTCATTCAATATAAACTGTCAAATATTTGTGTTTTTCTCTTATTATCCCTGATAACACTCTTATAGTTTACAGTAGAGCAACACAACTACCAGATGTTGAAAGAAATAGTCGTCCTGACAAAGGGGACAAAAACTCTCAGATGATTTTAGGACACTTTTACAGCTGAAACAGCAAAATGATTCCAGGCGGCCGGCTTAACATGATCGATGTTATTAAACCCCAACTTGCTCTTTATTGCATCTGTCAGAGGTAAAACGTGATTGGTGAACGAGGGATGCTTTGAGTGCTCACGTAGA